GCATTTCATCAGTTTAAAAAAAAATAAGGTAGATCCGTGTATGGAGATTAAAAAGAAAACACCAGCAATTCATATTGCTTAAGAAAATAATGAACCATACACCATGTGTACAGAATAGTACAAAGCTATTTTCTTTCTGTATGTACACACACGTACTATATATAAAACCTTAGAATTTGGAGAGTAGAATCATGACACTAATAGCTGCACTTAATTTGGGGGTGCCTAACTAGGACTAGGGGTGATTGTATAGGATGTTTTTCCATGCTTCATTTATTCCATTTTAGCCATCTCACATTTTTCATTGTAGTGTTGAAGGGCACTAATCTGAAAATCTAAAATGCTTCAAAAATCTGAAAGCTTTTGAGCACCAAAATGATCCCCCAAGAAAATTTCACATTTGAAATTCATTTTTCACATATACTTTTACAAAGGTAAAATTACCTTTCACATATATGCAAAACATAACTGAATCTGGTTTCAACTTGGGTTCCATCTCCTAGGTATCTCATCATGTATATGAGAATATTCCAAAATTCAAAAATATCTGAAATCTGAAATACTTCTAGGCTCAAGCATTTTGGGTAAGGGATGCCCAGTATGCATTACAGTACCGGTAGCCCCAAATATCCCTGACATGCATTCTTGGTACATCCTCCTAGAAGCACTGGCCTGGTCATAGCCTGGTTGATAATTTGTAATTTATATTTTGATTTTTTAATCAATCCAGGTTAAAGTTACAAGCTTTTTAAATATCCTATCTTTTTGCTGTTTATTTATTGTACAAGGTGAACACTGCCTATAAAATTTTGTCTTTTGGAAATTAGTAGATTTCCTTTGAGACAAATTTCTAATGACTATTCATTTGCACTAAGCAAAGAAACAAGAATTCTCTTTCCATATAGCAACCTTGTTAATTATAGCATCCAAATCCTTTATATCTGTTCTTACCTTTTCCAATTTGACTTGAGTTCTAAGTCAGTACCTATGATTATGACTTTATCAATTTTTTTCATTGTATTTCTATTTGTTTTGCTCTATGTAGTTCTCGGTTATACTGTTAGGGACATAAAGTTCATGACTATTGGACTTGCTGAATTCTTTTATGAGATATCCTTTAAAATTATTTTTGCCTTTAATTCAGCTGTGTTAGATACTAATATTGCTACTCCTGCTTTTGTTTTTGTGGCATTCATAAGGATGACCTTTTTCTATCTGAACTTTCCTGAATTATCTTGATTTAGATGTTTCTATTCTAATTGTATATAGCTAGGATTTGTTTCCTTTGCTTCATTTGAATATTTTTAAGTACATGGCTTTAACTCATCTGTACTTTCAAATACTATGTATGACTCTATTTACTCCTATTTTTGTCTACTTGCCCTGACTTTTTTAAAAAATGCATTTAGATTTTTCCTTCATATTGTGAGTTCTCTATACAAATAACTCCCGTTCAGAGACTCTGAAGCCACCACTCAGGTTTTTATTATAATTTGTCATTCTTCACACTCCAGGGTAGCTTTTAGTTACTGTATTAAAATCAAGAGTCAAATATTGCATACAGCATGTGGTGGGAAGATGGCACTTTGGGGTTTCTTAGCTCATGTTTCAGTGCTTTTCTTATCCCTCTAACTGCATCTTCCTGCCACCCTGTTCACCTATCCCCTCATCCTCTCTCATGTTTGTGGTACTGAGGATAGAACCCAGGGTCTTGTGCACATTAGAAAAGCACTCAACTTCAGCTACACCCCAGCTTTACCCCATTCTTTCTCCCAAAACGTATATGCTCCCACCACACCTATTTATTTTTTCTTCTAAACCCTGTTCTCAGCCAGTGTCTCCACTTGAAAAGATCTGAAATTCATCCATGAAGAATAATTAGCTAATAGGAGGCTAGTTGGTAATGGCATTTTACTGGAAGACTCCTGAAGATGGAGAAGCCTTAAAGACCCGAAGGAATGAAAGTGGAAGGCCTTCATCAGCCAGGCTGAGTCTGGATTCCATTTCTGCCCTGCACCAAGGAGCATCTTACTTCATTTTCTATGCCCCGGTTTCCTTGCTTGTAAAATGGGATACAAGAGCACATCAAGGGTTGTAAGAAAAATGGCTGGCAGGTGGCAACGCTCCAAAGGTGTTAACATTTGCCATAATTCCAATAGATCTAAAGAAATACTTTGTATAAGGCTGAACTTGGTAGTTTTCAACTCAGTTTGTTTGTTTGTTTTTTGGTTAAGATATGGTGATGAAAACAGAAGAAAATAAAAACACTGAGCTGGGTAACATTTAAATAAGGAGCTACTGTTATTCATCTTTGCAAAGGTAGCTTGGAGTCCACAGTGCTTTGGCCATAGCAAACACTCAAATGTGTGGCTGAATGAGAAAATTTTTTAAAAAACGGTATCTAGATTTCTCAAATAACATGGAAAATGATGGGGAACAGATAATCTGTTACCACTTACTTAAAAAGTACAACAGTGTAAAATTTCTAAAAGTAATACTATAAAGTACAGATACAAGTATTAGCTAGATAATATGTGTGGTATGAGGATATGTTCAAAAGAAGGGACCTCCCCACTCAATAGCTGCTTATTTTGCCATGGCGGGTGGTGAAGAGTACTCTGGCAAAATTTTCTTTAGCATCACGAATTTAAACTTGGTCTGCATTACAAAACCTCATCTCTGAAAATGAAAAGAACTGGTTTACATGAGAGGCAAACTATTGGCTTGGTAAGCAATGGTGTCTCTGTCATGCAAGAAGATTACATTATTTCTTACTTCATTCGTGTGTGTAACAAACAATTTTGTTTTTTTTTTGAGACAGGGTCTTGCTGTGTAGTTTAGGCTGGCCTTGAGTTCACTATGTAGCTCAGGCTGGCCTCAAACTTGTAGTGATCCTCCTGCCTCAGTCTCCCAAGTGCTAGGATTACAGGTGTGCGCCATCATGCCCAATTTTGCTTTATTAGAGTAGCAAAAATCACCAGTTAATTTAGTGCTTTATGTTTTTATTCTCTATTGAATAATGATTTCATAAAAATGAATATAATCTGATATATACTATTAAAACACAACTTTCACCTTATGAAAGATCAGCAAAAATAGACCAGCAGGAATATAACTGATTATACAGCACAACAATGAAGCCAAATGATCACATACAATAATCTTTTCATTTGATATCTCAGACACAGCTAAGAGAGCTTGACAAATGCCAATATAGTGCCTGTGGCTAATGATTAATATATGTAAGTGATGACACTCATTAATCATAACATTTCTGAAATGTTCATTCTTTACCAGTTAAAACTCATAGAAATAATCAGCACTGACCAAGGACAAACTCCAAATCTGTTGGAGAGGAGCAATATCTAATGATAGGAAGAACACTGAATTGAGGGCCAGTACATTTGAACTCTTGTCTTTGACCCTAGGTAGAGGATCTTCAGAAAATAACCTATACTATGAACCTTTACTTATTGTCAAAATGAGGGAATGGGCTGGATAGATCTCAAAGGTCTTTCATGATTCTGAAGTCATTGACACTAACATGATTTTATGTTGTAATATGAAAACTCTAACAATACTAACTTGGCAGTTGGTTGAAAGCAGCTCTGCCCATACAAATCTGAATAAAAACAATTCTCTATCCTCTGAGCCCCATGACAGCCAAATCCTCAAATTAATAAACTATAACAATAGGCTTCAGGAGAAGAATGGGTAGCGCTGCATAACACACAAACTCAAGATTGAAAGTTTTAAAAACCCAAACTCATGGTGATTAGAAAAGCTACAATAGAAGAACTACAGGAAACCTTTCTCTGACATTAACATGAAGACTCACTATCAGAAGAAGCCAGGTGCATATATTAGCTATAATGTATAATTAAAAATTTTTTTTAGCACTGGGGATTGAACCTAGGCCCTTTGACTGAGCTACCTCCCCAGCCCTTTTTATTTTTTATTTTAAGACAGGGTCTTCTTGCTAATTCACTAAATTGCCCAGGCTGAGTTTGAACTTGTGCTTCCCACCTCAGCCTCTTAAAATGCTGGGATTACAGGAATATAATCATTAATTATGACTCTTTTGTAAACATGCACAAAATATACAGGTACAATTAGAAATCTATCTATATTAAATATACATTCAAGGTCCAGATGTACATGGGAGGCTCTCTATTGTAAACTTGAACATGAGGTTTATCACGGAAGAACTGGGTATTCTGTTTACTAAGGGTGATTCCTACTTCATAATCCATGAAGTCCACCTCTTTCACATAATCACAGAAACTAAGGAGGTCTGAGCGCCCCCCTTAAGGTACATTATCGATTCCTTATTTTTTCAAGGCATATTACTCTGCTTTTGGTTCTGAAAGACTGAATGAGGGGTTCTCATCGTCTTCCTATTTTGAAAATCAAGTAGATTGTATCTCTTTGGGTCCAAGGTCTAAATTTGTCCTTATTTCTTTCTAATATTTTATTGTAATTCCTATCTCAACTGTATTCCAAAACTTTGAATATTTACCTAGGATTTGTATTGTAGAAATTAAGCCAATTTAATAAGCATGAATGTACAAATCAAAATTACTCTGAAAATGGCAGGTTTTCTTAATAAATATCATTTCATTAAAGTGCTAAAATGCTTCCTATTTAATAGTAGTGATGATTTTCTGCAAGCACATGATCCTTGGAACTTTTTCATGTCAAACTCACCCATTTGCAGAAAACTGTCTCTTGTTTACTGTCCACCTCTCTCATTTGAGGATTCAGGCTCTGTACTAGGAGGAGTTTTTTTTTTTCTCCTGAGAAACCCTAATACTGAAGAAATGACATCACTACTATGTATTTGTTTGGCTATGCCTATTTATCTTTTGTATTACAATACAATAGATTTAGCTGGAGATTTAGCTCAGCAGCATAGCGCCTGCCTAGCAAGTGCAAGGTAGTGAGTTCGGTTCCCAGTACCGGAAAGAAAAAAAAAAAAAAAGAAAAACAATAGATTTATATTTGTCATTTCAAATATAAAATTATTTTAATATTGAATATACTTTTGCAAACTCTACACTGCCCTTGTATTCCTCATTCCTCAAGACTTTGACACACTTCTTTATGGGGGCAAGATCTCTCTCTTGAGGATCACTGAAATAAAATCCAGTTTCTGAAATTATTACTATTTAGGATGAAGCTCAGGAATGAAGTTAGAGGGAATAGTAGTTAATGGAAATATAGAGAAAAATTTTGCTAGTGAAAAGTAGTATGGCACAATATTACAATATTGAACACTTAATGGCTAGTAAACCAAATTATTCCAACTTTATAGTTGAACATGTTTTTAAAATGACCTGTTGAAATCTTCATGAAACTAAATCTTTTACAGGTCAATTATAGAAACAAACTGTATTATTTTACTTGGTTAAAATAATTTTTTTTCAATTATATGAACTACAAAATTATACTCTTATTTTCCATCCATTCTGATATTCACAACTGAAGTTTTAGATTTTCCAAATAAATTTTTACCAGTTTCTACCTCATTTAGCAACTTACAGTTGAATCTATAAAGTATTTAATAAAAACCGACTATTTTAACAAGCGTTGCTCTGATTGGTACCACAATATAAAGACTTAGAAAGAGTATAAAAGAAGTACTTCTATAAGTAATACTTCAAACATCTTCATTTTTCCAAATGTTGATGGAGTGAAACTTCCATATATTCTGAAACCAGATGATAACATAAATATGTACAGAAGTTTAAAAACAGTTTTGGAGAAAATAGGGGTGCACGTCTCCCAAATTTTAGAAATGATTTCCTGTGCCTAACCTAGCAGACTGGAAAGAGGAAAGAGAAGGGGCAAAGCCAGAGGATCACGACTAAGGGGCCTCAATAAAACCCTGCAGTGCTAAGGAGACTTACTCCTCCAACAAGGCACAACAGTTTAACACAGGTGACACCAGAGAGGGGCCCGATCTTACAGATGTCAGTATTCTGCATCGATGTGCTTTGCAATGGTGTTCAGCTGGATATTGCTAGCTCCTTCATATATTGTACCTAAAATGAAAGGGAGCAAAATAAATAGTTAGGAGTGGACCCACAGTTAAGAGTCATCTGAGAAATAAATGCTATAAATATTACCTCTGCATTTGCTATAAAATTGTTACTGGTAACATCATTTAATGTCCCTGGAATATGGAACTATGGGACAAAGTAATTTTGACTAAGAGATGGCAATTTTCCATTAGCTGTATTGATGTCCAGAATCAGCTCTTAACAGTTGAAGATTCTGGTTCCTAAACTATCACTGGATGCACTCAGACTGTTATTAAGGAACAGGCAGTTTTTGCAGGTGTTCTGTTTATTTTCCTTTCTGGTAGTAGCGCAACAGACTGCTCAGGCTTGATTAGGCACTTTGCTTTTGAAATTAGAACAATACTTCAAAGAATAGCATTAAACTACACTGATCACAAATACTAGCAATTTTAATAAAAGAAAAATTAAGACAGTAGATTTTGTTGCAGTTCTACTAACAGGCTTGTTGAGGTATTGTAAAAGGCAATTTGATATTTTTAAAATATAAATCCTTTTTTTTTTTTTTTTTTTTGGTATTTTGATTTTGGGAAAAAAATCCAGCCATGAAAAAAGCCAATAAACATACACTGAAGAAATGGGATCACCTTTGGCTTGGTACCAGTAATACAGAATCAACATATACAACAGCCCAAACACCCAAAATGGCAAACCCATCCAAATAAAATGTTAAAAAAATCTACTTACCAATCTTTGCATCTCGGAAGTACTTTTCTACCGGGTAGTCTTTGATATAGCCTACTCCTCCCATCCACTCGATACATTTACTAGTTGTAAGCCCTGCAGTCTACCAAAAAAAAGCAGCAAATTGCACATTGAAATCACTTAACATATATTATAAATACTATTTTTTTTTTTTTTGCAGTACCAGAGATTGAACTCACAACCTTGCACTTGCTAGGCAAACGCTTATGCCACTGAGCTATTTCCCCAGCTCCCTATAAATACTTTTGTGCGACACTTTTAGCAATATGATTTCATTGTGACTGGTGATTAAAAGGATTAAAGTTATTTTGGAAGCTAGCATTGTCTGTTTAGCCCTATTCTCTAGCCATTTCTGTAAAATATCCTATGAACTCATGAAATTATTTCGTGAAGAAAATGATTTCTTTTCCTTTGTGGGGGTTTAATCCAGAGCCTTGTGCACACTAGGTAAGTGCTCTACTACTAACCTACATACACAGCCCAGAAAAGCAGAGTATTGTTGATATTCACATGCTTGCCAGCAGGTATCATTCATTAGTAAATATTAATTGATACTGCTTTCATGCCAAATACTCTGTATTCTGTGGGTATACAACAATGGAGGTGAGCAGTCACTGGCCCTTTGATACTGGTGGTTGTTAGAAAAAGATTAACCCTGTAAGCATAGAAACTCATAAACTGCCTAGGGCAAAAGAAAAGCCTTCTAGGAAGACTAATATGATCTAAACAGTGAGATATTTGAGAACAACTTGGTTAAGACCTAAAGGATGAGTTAGGGCCATTTCAAGCTGAGGAAGAGCATATGCAAAGGCTCTAAGGGATAAAGAGGACCATCAGTGTTAGGGACCGAGAAAGCAAGTGGGCGGGGGTCAGGGTAAGTTTTAAAAAGAGAAGAGGGGCAGACCAGCCTTAGAGAATGGCCAGCAGTCTGACTATTGATAAAGGCCCCTCAGGGATGCCCACAGCCTAATCAAGGATGTCCACAGAAACTGAATACAGTACCTCACATGGCCAAAGAGACTTTGCAGCTTTTTATTCGTTTCCCATTGCCACTATTGCAAATTACCAAAAATCTAGTAGCCTAAGACCATGCAATTTTATTACTCCCCACTTCTAGAGCTCAGAAGTCTAAAAGATTAAGGACCTTGAGATGAGGACTTTATCCTGGATAATTTGATGGATCCAATGTAACCACAAGGGTGCTTATAAGAAACAGAGGGAGTTAAGAGTTAAGTCATTGATGGCAATGTCCATAGCAACAGAAAGCAGAGCCACAGAAATGTTTGAGTTGGCCACATGATTGGGTGTGAAGACAGAGGAGGAGGCTGCAAGTCAAGGAATGTGAGCAGCCTACAGAAGCTTGAATGGGGTTCTCCTTTAAAGCTTTCAGAAAGGCAGCCCTTCTGATACTTTACTTGAGGCCAGTGAGGCTCATTTTAGACTTCTGAGCTCTAGAAGTGGGGAGTAATAAAATTGCATGGTCTTAGGCTACTAGATTTTTGGTAATTTGCGATAGTGGCGATGGGAAACGAATAAAAAACATTTATTGTGAGAAGCCACTAAAAGCTGGAGTGACACAACCTCAGGCACATTGTGAAAAGAAAGACAGACTGGGTTGGAGTGAGTGGAAGGAACCACAAGAGTAGTTAGGTCAACAATAGTTTGGTCAAGAAATGACACACCTTGGATGGATGGGATGGCAAGAGAGAAAAATATATCAATTCAAGAAATCTTTTGCAGGTAGAATTCATAGGAACTGAGGATGGATTTAGTGTCGGGGGGGTGAGAGATGTCAAGATGACTCTCAGGTTTCTGACCGGAGCCCTAGGTGGACAGGTCAAAAGAGGCTTGGATAATTTCGTAGGAACTCACAAGGGCGCTTGCAGCAGAGATCAAATTTAGGGCTTGGAGAGGTTATATGAGAATTTAAGGCCCTGAAATGAGTCAGACACATTGCCATAGTTAGGACAAACAGCTGCCGATGACTTGGCTAAATTCTCCAGCCCAAGTCTCATGTGTTAAATAGTATGCATACGTGTAAGTAGAAAGCATTAAAAATATAGACAATCTTTTCTTGGTGTTTTTAATCTCACTTGCTTCTATTACAAGCACATCATCTTCCATGGCATTCTTTGTGCTTCAATTTGAAATGCTGAACCTGATGCCATCACTCAGAGAACCTTCTCCATGGCTTTCATGGGTGGCTGCCAAACTGGGCTACTCAGGGGAACACCAAGACCCCACAAAATTAAAACATTTTCCTACGGTAGTTTCACTTTTTCATTTTTCTAGTATAAAAATTGAAAAGTCTTTGTTATATGTCTTGAAAAACAACCCTAGGTTAAATCAGTGCATTAAGGTTATTAATTCAAAAATCAAAAATTATTAAGAACACATTTGAAATAAATGAAAACTGACTTTTTTTTACCTCTGATGCATAATACTTGGCCATAGCTGCTTCTTTTATGAATGGCCTCCCAGCTTCTACAAGTCTGGCAGCATTGTACGTTAGTAATCTTGCAGCTTCTAGCTGGGTAGCCACATAAGCCACTTGGTGTTGGAGTCCCTATAATATTCAGGCACAAGTTGCAGAATTATGATTTCTAAAACACAGCTTATCTTTCTTTAAGTCCTGCCAAGATAGAGAACACTGACAGACTTAAAATATAACACAAAGGATATTCATTTCTTTAAAAAATTTTAAAACACTGCAAGTATTATGAAGGTCTTTATTTTCCTAGAAAAATTTCAAAGTTCATGTAATTCTTCATAATTGTTAAAGTTTAAATAATAAATTATCACTAAGTCAGATTTAAAAGCTTGAATGTTTTATTTAGTATTTATTTTCAACTCCATGATCAAAATTAAGCTTGAACCAAAGTCTAGCACATTAAAACTTTGACTGTATTCTTGCTTGATTGGAGAAAATTTTGATTTTTTTCCTATGGGCTCAAGGCATTAGAATTGTTAGCTACAAAGGAATGAAGGAATATATTTGAAGCACCAACTTTTTTCCTTCATGTAACTTTATTAGAGTAACTCTACTGTAATATCCAATAATAAGGTACCAGTTCCTTTAAGATTATAGAAAACAAGAATAATTTTAAACCCATCCTAGAAAAACCTTCTACCATCCTAAAAGTTTAGAAAGTATTGGATGCCATTAAACATCAATAAGAAAAATAAGTGACTTGGTGAGTAAAAATATAAATTATAAACAATTTCCCAGAAATATAGGTACAGATGATTATTATAAATCATATTTTCTCATGTCTAACCTATCCATTCACCCACATGTTTATTGAGCACCTCCTCTATGCCAGGCACTATGCTGAGCAATGGAGGCATTATACTGAATATTACAGTCAAATTCCTTGTCTTCATGATTTGTAGAATCTAGCAGGGAAAACAGACAATAAACATAACTATGTAATGAATGGTAGTTAATACAGAGAACCTTGATTAGGGCAATTACTTAATAAACCTAGAATGACCTTTGTTAAACAAAAAAAAGGGCTAAGCTGGAGAAAAATAGTTTATCCTTTCTGTTTGTAAATATCCTATTGTTATTTTCACTTCTGTGATATTTAATATTTATAAAATAAAACTGTTACATATATGTAGGGTATAAAACATAAAAATAAACTGAATGCCCACAATGCTATGTGTAGGGTACCTATCTTTTTCCTCATAATTTATACTTTTACCTTATGGCACCTTTTGAGAAAAAGAAATTTGATAGTCAAGTTCACCAATTATGATTAGTCTTCATAATTAGTTTTTTTTGTGTCTTGTTTATGAAATCTTTTCTGAACATGAAGTCATAAGGATATTTTCATAAAATCTTTAAAGTTTACTTTATATTACTTTTTAAAATAACTGAAATTTTCTGTGTGTGGTGTGAGGTAGGGATATGGTTTCATTTTTCTCCACACCGAAAGACTACTCCTACTTAGTGATCTACAAAGCCATCTCTAGCATTTATCAATTTGCATACATATGTGAGTCAATTTCTGGCCTGTTTTGTTCTATCAATCTGCCTATTTCTATACTAATATCACCATTCTAGACATTTCAGATCGTTTTTTATATGGAATTCAGAAATCCTGATTATTTTTGCAAAATACATTTAGTTCAATTAAACCTCCAGTCACCATCCATACCATCTATTCCAACAACCACACAAAGGACCTTGAGAGGCAGAAAAAGCAACTGTGGCATGTCTCCTGCTTTGTAAGAACTCACTACTGCTGAATATCGGTTCCCTAATTGCATCGTAAACACAGGACCTGGCAAGGAAAATATGTTCAACAAATATATGCTGAATAAACTGCAGGAAATAAGAACGAACAGACTTGGTTCCTATTCTCAAACACCTTACTGTCCAGAGGCGAGCAAAGAAACAACACATGTAAAGCCAAAAATAAATCACTCTGATAAGATGGAGTAGGCAGAGAAGTTCAGTACGAACTTCAGCCAAAGCTTTATATAGTTAATGATGTTGTTTTTCTAACATCAAAGTTCTATCTTTAAAAAAATTATCCAGAGTTGCTGAGCGTGGCGGCATAGGCCTATAATCCCAATTCTCTGGAGCCTGAAAAAGGAGGATGGCTGTGACTTCAAGGACAGTTTGGCCTACATAGTGAGTTCAAGGCCAACCTAAACTACACAGAAAATACTGTCTCAAAAAACCAAAATCAATCAATCAATCAAATCAAATCAAATCAACCCAGAGTAGGTATCTCTAGAAATGTGATTATACTTATTAGTATACCTAACTCACGCTGTTTCCTGGGACGAAGATCAAAAGCCTCCTCAGACTGGCTTTATCTCTGTTCCTCACTTTGATCTATGTGGAAGGTGACTCTGACATAGTATGCAAGTATAATGAAATAACAAAACCCTATAATTTTGGCACATACTGTACTAGCTACATGGTCTTGGAACCCCACCATCCTTGTGCCTTATATCCTGTGTACAGAATGGGGATGAGAACATGACCTCTGCCAGCCACTGGCCAACACTGCATGCTCAGTCCTAGATCTTAGACTGACTGTGCATGCCCATACCCTCATATCTCTATACAAGAGTAATCTGGATATTTTCATCTGATGCCTAGTCATTATAAACTTGAAGACAGAGCCGGGGATATAGCGCAGTGGCATAAGCGCCTGCCTGGCAAGTGTAAGGTCCTGAGTTCAATTCCCAGTACCAAAAAAAAAAAATAAACTTGAAGACAATATAATGTCACAAAGCTGCTAGTGTGTTAAGAAACTATACTCTGAAACTGGAGATATTTAAGGGGAGGTTTTGCAACCATGCAATGTAATTATTCTGGAATTTCAGGTAACATGCTTCAAGTTGCCTAAAAGTCTTGCTAAGTTGCTACCCCAGGTTGCCCCTACTCTGGCAAAATCTCAAGTGGACAAGAATTCCCCTGCTACCAAGAAATCCTTGACTATCTAGGGAGCTCTAAAAAGCTACTCAATGGACAAGACCAGCATTTCCCAAAATGCTTTGCTGAGAGCATCTGAACTGTATCTGCTACAACAAAGTGTGCATGTATCAAAGTGTCCTCTGAAGATTACCATATGGGTCTGCTCTGAACAACGAGACTCATAACAAGTGCTACCATTTACTGGTCCCAAGCATTTCAGAGAAAGTCACACTCAACAAGAAGAACTAGGCTTTGAATGAGAAGTGTGACTTTCGATCTCATGGCCTAGAGTTATGAAGCAGTGAGAACAGGCTCCAAGGGGTTCACCAAGACATCCTGAATAATGTCACATCCTGGCCTTAGGGCTGTAGCTCTGCCTCTGAAAAAGATTAAGGCATTCATAATTATACTCACCGAGATTCTCTCCCAGTAAAATCCCTCAAGGGATTCTCTTCATGGTCTTTCAACACAACTCTTTATTAAATGAAAGAAGGGAAAGTTAAGTACAGTAGAAAGAGCCTAGTTACATACCTGAAAATTAAATATTCTTTGGCCAAACTGTTCCCTTTCTTTAATATATGGAATAGTGTAGTCAAAACATCCTTGGGCCAGTCCCAGCATCTGTTAAAAAAATACATCAGAATCTATTATTTTGTTAAAAGTTTATGTACTTATTTAAGTTGTAAATTCCTTTTACAGGGAGACTGAATCACTGGATCGTTGAGGTAGAGGAAGAACTGAAGCTACTGAGGTGGTGAGGTGTGTGTTAATTTTATATTGCATTTAGAGAAAACAGGATACCTTTTTTTTTTTGGTAATGGGAACCAAACTCATGAACTCATGCTTGCCAGGTAGGTGCTGTGCTGCTGACCTATATCCCTGGTCAAACAGAAAATAATCTGTAGTAATTGGGAAAAAATCTGGAGTGACTCATGTCAACATGTGTGTACTTAATTCTAGCACAGCAATAAACCACTTGGCATGGCTGTATTCACACAACCAGCCTACTGTTAAGAATCTTTTCTTTAATGCTCTAATTCTCTAAACATAAAATAAAACAGAAACTTTTCTCAGAAGTGGCTCCCTTCAGCCCTAGAAGTCAATGTGGAGGGTCATTTCTTTACTTTTTACCTTACTGTCCATTTTGTTTATGATTAACAAGAGTTTCAATGGACAGGGTGTTAGAATATAAGACTGCAGGGTTTCTCAACCCTAGATGCAAATAAGATTCATGTGGGAAATTTAATAAAAAAATACCATTGCCCAAGTGTGAAGGCTTGCATCTCGATGTCCCAAGCCTCACGTGCTCATAGGTGGGGGATTTTGGAAGTTGCTGGCTCTAGAGTGTGTAAGGCTGGGATTAAGGATGTGATGCTGACACTGATTCACAGTGCAATGCTAGGATTAAGGATGCCCCCCCCACCGGGTGTGAGTGCTACCTACCCTAAGGGTGGGTAGCCTGGATAAAATGTAAGGGACAGAAAGAGAACTGCTGTTGTTGCTTATTGCTTTGCCAGTTTGCTGACTTTTGCCTGTCCTGAGCTGTTTCTCGTCTTCCATGTTACCCTGCCTTGGAGCCAGTCAACTCTATCAACTAAAACTTCCACACACTGTGAGCTACAAAAGCCTTTCTTCTCTTTGCTTTGGATGTCAGGTATTTAGTCTCAGCAATGAGAAAAGTAACTAAGACACCAGGGATAACAACTGAATCCAAACTTTGGAATTGGGGCGGGGGGATTGAGTGTGACCTAGGCATGAACATTTTAAAAATTCTTTGGCTGACTTAACATACAGCTGGGGTTGAGAACAACTGAGAGACAGCATCTGATAAAAACATTAATTTACATGCCTGAAGAACAAGTCAGGATGCGGTAGCAATTTCAGTTGAACTATCTTGTTACTAACCAATTTTCATATCTATTGAACGATTCAAGCTTAGAAATGGTTTCTGAATTTCAACATCAGTAGCCATTAAATCACTATCTAATTATGTCAAACTATGTAGGTTTTGGAAGAAGAAAAAGATCAATTAAGTTTTTTGGGGAAATGCCCACAAACATATCAATATTCCATTAGTGTTCATTCACCTTTTCTTTAAGCCTTTATTTTGAACTCCCTGGAGAATAGGTAATTATGTTAAAGCCCCCACAAACCCAAAATGAAACCCCACTGCACTTCTGTTGTAAGCTAAGATGTGCTGGGTGTGATGGCACATCAGGTAATCCAGAGTACTCCGGAGGCTGATGAAGGAGGACCGCAAGTTGAGAAATTTAGAGAGGCCCTGTTCAAAATAATTTTTTTTTAAAAAAAGGGCAGGGTATCGAGAGCTTTTAAATAGATCCTCTGTATAGTATCTCTGACTGCTGATCACAGCTGTAACCCTCTTTAGCCGGAAGAAGCCAGATCAGTCTTCAACCCTTGCCCCCTCATGGCAGTTAGGGGTACTTCTTGCGACAGGGGAATATTATAGATAGCTAAGTTAAGTAGGAATATTGTAGGCAGTCAGACAGGGCTGAGTTGAGAGGTCAAAACAGAAGACAGTGGCTGGAGGTGAGTTCAATGAAGGCCAGGCTTCAAGAAAAAGAAGGACTAGTCACCCATATACTTCCCCTAGGGATGAAAAGCAGTGATTGATATTCTAAAGTAGGATCAATCACCTTTGGGTGGAGGAGCAAACCTCCTCCACCCACTCCTGCCAGGAAAGTTCGTGTCTGCCCATGTGTGCTTGTGACCTGTTTCCCCATTTGATCCCCATTTAATCAATATTATCCTAGTGACTATATTTGTTGTATACTTATTGGTTGATCATCGTTTTGTCCCACCTCATACCCATCCTATTATTTGCCATGGGATCAATATTATCTCAGTGATTATACTTATTATCTTATTGGTTATCGTTCAGTCCCACCTAAAGCCCACCTCACCTTGTGGCTTTACTCAGTAAAACACCCTCGAGAAGCGGGGTTGGTAGGCAACCCACTTTCTGGGCCCCCTTCTGTCCCTCTTAGATGGAAGCTTTCTTTCTCTCAATGAATTCTTCCTACTCTTAAAAAAAATTAAAAAATAAAAAAGGGCAGTGGGTATAGCTCAGTGGCAAAGCACTTGCCTAGCATGTGAGAAGTCCTGGGTTTGCTCCTCAGTACCAGAAAAAAAAGGTAATTTCAGTATACTCTTATAACTAACATTTAAAGAACATAAAAATAATAGCCTATACTGACATGAAAGCTGATCCTATCAGCTGTCAATCAAAACAGGTATTTCAGGCTCAGCGAAATGTTTCCATTATAAATACTAAAGAACCAAATTCTCTCTATCTGCAGGGTTCTGAGGATGGATGACTTTAGTTCACTCTGTTATATGTGCCTCCTCCTCTAAAGGGATCCACTGAGACGTAATAACTACCTGACCTTAACTTTTAATTAGATTATAAGATAACCTGGAGTACTTAGACTAAAGTCCACGCCATGTATTTTATTGCCAGAACATCTATATTATTTATATGTGTGGGAACAATGAAGCCCAGTACTGTAGCTTTTAATGCCATATGTGATGAAGTTAAATCACAGAAAAACTTTTAAAAGTACATATATGTCTGCTGATATCTAATGGTTTATTGAAAGGAACAGTCAATGCTTAAATTTTTTTGACCAATTTTGTATGCTTATATCTGGTAATGTGAACAACTAATTTGAAGACAACAATATGCAAAATAACAACCATTGGTGAATTCCTACCATATTGTTTAGTGAAGCTCTGTATCATTTCTAATGTTTTTTTAAATTGGTTTTTATTCTTTTTAATGGTTTGATCAATCTTGCATTCTTGTATCTGGTAATCTGAGCAACTTCACTGAAGACAACAATATGTAATAGAACAACCACTGTTAACTCCTATCATTCTGTTTTGAAACCCTGTATCATTTTTATTGTTTTTGCTTTGTTTTGTTCTTGTCTATGTTGTTGTGATTGTTATTTTTTTATTCTCTTTAAAATAAAAAAGTACATACATGCCAATACTCTTTAGTAACTTAATATCCAGCTTTGTGGAAAATCTATCTTAAGTTTTGATTTGAGAGTAAGTTTGGTAGACTGAGGTTGTAGCTCAGGGGTAGAGCACACGCTGAGCATGGTTGAGGCCTGGGTTCAGTTTAGCACCAAAAGAGAATAGTTTGTTAATACAGTAATTGCAGCAAAAAACTGTAATAAGTCAACATTTAACTATTCTACTAGCTAATTCTGTATCAATGCATATAAAAAGTTAAAAGCTGTAAGTTCTTGAATTTTAGACATTTCAGATTAAAAATATATTCTAAGTGATATTGATAATAAAACACAAAACTTTATCTGTTTTATTAATCTAGAAAATCAGAGACATCATTTAATAGAAAAATCTATTATAAAGGGCAAACTTGGTAAAAGATTGAATAGTTTCATCTTACATATCCATTTAATTGGAACTATCTTATTCCTGTGTCACAAAAAATTGTTCAAATTTTCACATGCAAAACAATTACCTATAGAAACCCTTACATAGAAGAATAATTATTTTTTCCTAATTTTAGAAGTTTCTTCCAGAATGAATTTCATGTTTTGAAAGGTTGATTTTTTACAAATTTTCCATATTTCACTTACACTACATCTTAGAAATTTTGGTTCAGGTGTTAGATAATACTTTAATACTCTCAAAGCAGAAAAACTGTTATCACTAAGCCACTGTTTGGTTCCCCAGATACTTATATAATTGACCAAAGTAGAATCTGAAAGAAACAATCAGCAGCCATTCTAAGAAAAGGGTGCCATCTTGTGTTCACAAGCTTCCACTGTCTTATAATATAGAAAAGGTAAAATTTGATGTACCTGCGCAGCAATTCCTATTCTACCTTCATTAAGAATTCCTATGGCATATTTATAGCCATGTCCAACTTGTCCCAAGATATTGGTTTCTGGAACCTGAAAATAAAAATATGAGCTTATTTCTCAATTTAAGTTAGCATGACTCACTTTACAATACTTATTAAATATTAATGAGATTGTCCTTGACATCAAGACATCTTCTATACTGTTTCCCCAAAGCCAGGTTCCCCTTTGCATCCTCCAGAACCTAGCACAATCTGCTCAATGAATGACTTAATCCAGAAAAAGGGAACTCATATAATTCATCCATAATAGAAATGGATAACAATTTCCCCCCAGTTCTTATCTATATGCTAATAGTATAACATATGAAGAACTACAAAAAACATGCGGTACTTGCAAAAACAAGAGTAGTAAACCTTTCTTCTGTTGAGATGATTCATCCTCATAAAAGTCAAGTGGGGAGTGTGTAATGTTGTACACAGGGTATGTGTATATGCATGAGGGAGGAGGAAGGAGGAGAGAGGAAAGAAACTGAAATGTTTCTTCATAATTAAAAAGAATTAAGACTAGGAATGATAAAAAATACTGAACTTTATAATATTATAATATGGACAGTAAGGAGAGAGGGCAGAGCAGGATAGAGGAAGAAAAGGATAGGAAAAGGAAAACAGGAAGGAGGTTGGTGGGGGGAAGTAACAAGGCCCAAATGTCATCTGTAAAGACATCACAAACACATATGTGCACGAAGACCAAGCTTCACCGCGAGTAGGAGAAGCTAGGACAACGTGTCCTGTCCACGTGAAGCTCCAAGCCGGTTTCAGCCTCAGCCTTCTGACAGTCTTGTTTTGTGAGGTTCTTGCCTGGTTGCTCTTCACTCTAAGCAACATCCCCATCTTGTGGCCTTTGGTGTACTAACACTGGACTTCCTTCTCGGAAGCTGTGTTTTGATCATAAATACTACACTTATAAAGTACAAATGGTTCACAAGTATGTACCTTACAAACATAACTGAGATATGCTGGGCACAGTGACACATGCCTAAAATCCCAGCATTTGGAGGCTGAGGCAGAAGAATCACTGTGAGTTCAGGCCAGCCTGAACTATTAGTGAGACCCTGTCTCAGTAATAACAACAACAACAACAAAACAACTGAGATAAATTCTCATCATTTGTTCCTGAGGATAGCTGCTGGACAGAAGGTTTCCACTCTGGTCTAAACAGCTATGGGAAGTACACTTGGTCACGATTTAACCTAAGAGCACCGTTTAGGGGCTCCACAAAATACTCTGCTATATATGCTTATCGCCACTTAAAGTTTTGACAGCTCTCTGTTTCCATATGAAGTTCATTTCATATTAGTCTTATTGATTATTAAGAAATACCCACCTTGACATTTTCAAATGTTAATGGGCAGGTGGAAGAAGCTCTGATTCCCATTTTATTTTCTGATTTTCCTATATGAAAGCCTTCTGTACCACGATTTACTAAGAAGCAGGTGATTCCTTTATAACCCTAAAAAGATTTACAATACTATTACCACTCAGATTTATAACATCTCTTGTTTATACAGTTTTCAAAGCAAAAAAAAAACTAAAGATGGACTTTAGCAAGAAATACTGAAGGACTCTAAATTGCAACACATGCATTACAAAAGAATGCCTGGGGGACATTAGATACAAATTAAAGGACCTCACCTTTTTTTTTTTTTAACTGTTTTAGAAACTATAACGAATATTAAAATTATTGTTACAATAAGGTTTTATGTGATCATGAAAACCCTGTTTTAAATTCAATTTTATTAAATATCTTAAAAGTTTTAGCAATTTAATTCAATTAAATATTACATAAGTAAAAAGACAAAAAATAAAATATATTTACCATTTCACTGTACTTCTATTGTCCAACTGAATAAAATATAAGTGTAATGTATAAGTACTAAATTCATTATTAAAAAAATTGAAATTCTACAAAATTAAAGATTAGCTTCCTATGGGTATAACATATTAAAAGGTAAATAGTAAGTGTTCCCCCATGTAATTAATAATTATGTTAACAAGAAGGCAATTAATAAGAAGGTGAAAAGATGCCAGTGCATGTCTTACATTTCCAGTATTTGGAAGTATAAAGACATTAAGGTTAAATCTGAAAAGTGAAATGGAAGGAGGAAAAGAAAAAGAGGAAAGATGATGGGAAAAGGAGTGAAATTTGGTTTTTAAACTTACAGCGGTAGGGTCTACATTTGCAAAAACCAGGAAGAGCTCTGCATGCCCTGCACTACTAATCCACATCTTGGACCCATTGATGACATAGTAATTTCCCTTTTTATCAGCTCTGGTCTTCAAAGCAAAGGAGTCACTACCTGCTCCAGCCTCTGAAAGGCAAAAGCTTCCTAGCTGTTCATGTAAAGAAAAAAAAAAATCAAAATTAACAACTATTTTTATGCTCTGCATAACAAATACTTAATGACAAAATGGAAATTTGCAAATCAAACCTTTAGTTACTATTTTAAAAAGTCTATCTCAAAATAGTTTTTTGTCAGTATTATTTCCAAACCACCCTACTATTTGTCTAAGGTAAATTTAAGGACTTAAGAATACATGCATAACTTTATTAAATTCATTCTAATAATTGTACTAGTAGGCAATCTCGGTGTAAATGAAACCATCAACAAAGGTACTAGAAAATGGAATTTGGACAAAAAAGGAAGTAATTTTATTGTCTGATAATTATTCACTAAATTTCCAGAGTGGCAAATGAAAAGCAGAGTATATTTCTCTTATTGAGAGTTACTAGATTAATTGGTGGTGCTGCACTGTGGTCTTGAATAATAAGTCAACATTGTAGCTACTTTTTTTCCTGAAAATATTATAAATGTAGAAAAGACCAGATCCATTTTAACTCACATCTTCTGTAATCAGTTTAGGCAAATAGGTGGCCTTTTGTTCTTCTGTTCCATATCTTGCAATGAGCTTGTTGATCACTGTGTTCTGAAGGTCACACAGGAGAGCCACAGATGCATCAACTTTGGCTAATTCCTCTATCACTAGGATGGCGGAAAAAAATGAAGCTCCTGTTCCTCCATACTTTTCATCAACTTCGATACCCATCAACTAAAGGAAAAACAAAGAGCAGATTAAGGAAGCTGTTTTTATACTGGGGGACTTCTTATAAGAATAAGCTCAAAAACAAATCAAAACCAGATATGTTCTTAACTAATATAGTCTATATATATTTTGTTTTAATTTGGTATGGCTGTTTGGTATAAGTAACAAGGTATCTACAATAGAAACTATTTGAAAAGGAAGAATTACATGCTAGAGCTGGGCGTGGTGGTGCATGCCTGTAATCCCAGCACTGGGGAGGCTGAGCCCACAGGATTGCCACGAATTTGAGGCCAGCCTGGACTATGTAATGAGTTCAAGGCCAGCCTGCAATTAGCAAGGCCCTGTCTCAAAAAAAAAAAAAAAAAATACATACTAGAACTATTGTTTGTCTCCTTTTTAGATCTCAAAATTATGAGGTAAAATGTTTGAAGAGTACCTGAGTGAAAGGAGACAATATCATATACAAAGGTACTCTTATGGCCCTTCTTGCTAAGGACCACAAGAGTTCTTTAGTCTTTCCCCAAAGCCCCTGTTATTCTGATTTGAATGTAATAGCAAGAAAGTAACCAGCCCTCTGGGGAAATGTCTACAGTTTCATTTGGCATAATCCCTTCTAGGCAGGTTCCTCCACCTTGATTTTTTCAGCTGAGATAATGACTGAAGGATCACTCCATTTGTGGCCTTTCAGCAAGTCTTCGGTGGTCGGCAGACAACATTTGGTGGTATTTGCTCAAGCCACACTTGACAAGGCACAGGTGCCTGCTAAAAGTGACAAATGTTGGCCAAGGCTTTCCAATAACCTTGAGCAAGTCTGACTGCTCAGTCTCTACTGTGAAATCTGGGGGATGACACTTCCTCAGCACTATTCCATTTTTAAGTATCCTCATTTCAAGAAAGGAATACGTGTACATTGTGATTCCAGACCCACAGCTGGTGGGTAATAGATAAAACATAACATTTCTATATTTTCTGGACCCGTGGTGGCGAACCTATGACAGGTGTGCTGCAAAGGGCTTTTTGTATCACTGAAAGCTCTAAAAGCTTTGCCATCACAGCTACACTCTCTTGGAATCACACTATGCTGCAGTTGAGGTTGTGGCTGTTACATTTTAAGATGAAGATAGAACCACGAACAAGGAAGTTACATTTTAAGATGAAGATAGAACCATGAAGATAGAATCTACAAACATTATATCACAGTGAAGGGTGAGGACTGAAAGGTAGGAGAACCACAAATGTTGTTCTTTGAAAAAAATATGAACAATGTGAGTGTACCTGAAGGCTGGAGGGTATGACAGCTATCTGATTATAGTATCTTGGGCAATCATCTAAGATTCTATTTCTCTGCAAATTAAAACAACATTAAGACTCCACCTTACCCCAGTAAGAATGGCTAGCATTAAGAAATCAACCAATAAATGCTGGCGAGGCTGTGGAGAAATAGGAACTCTTCTCCACTGCTGGTGGGAATGCAGACTGGTGAAGCCACTGTGGAAATCAGTTTGGAGATTTCTCGGCAAACTAGCACTAGAGGTCCCATTCAACCCACTATTGCCCTTCTGGGTATTTTCCCAGAAGATCTACAAACATTATATCATAGTGATGTATGTGTACCTATGTTCATAGAAGCACAATTTGTAATTGCTAAATTATGGAAGCAACCCAAATGTCCATCCACTGAGGATTGGATAAGAAAATTGTAGTACTTTTATATAGTGGAATATTACTCAGCTATAAAGAAAGATAAACTCGAGGATTTTATAGGGAAATGGTCACAACTAGAGACCATACTCACAAGTGAAATAAATCAGACCTGCATGGGCAAGCACTGCATTGTCTCACTAGTGTAAAACCCGAAAGAGTTAATAAAAACTTGGAGGTATGATAGACATTGTGAAATGATAGGAAAACACTCAAGGGTAAAGGGCAACTGGGATGTGGGAAAAGAGAAGGGAAAGAAGGAGAAATTTTGTATGTATGTATATACAGGATAGTTAACATAGTTGATCTACTGTCTTCTATTTCTTTGCTGAAAAAACAGTTGATGAATCCTTGATTGATCAATATTGCATGTCTCGATCTGTTTTCATGAGAACTACTTTGAAGATATCAATATGTAATACAACAAGCATTATTAATTTCCTACCACTTTGTAACTCTGTATTGTTTGTACTATTCTTTTGCTATTTTATAAAAGGTTGTCTGTCTGTTAATGTTTTCCTCCTTTTCTTTTTAAAATAAAAAAAGAGATTCTATTTCTCTATAAAAGTCATTAATTTCCCTACTGACTTAGAAATATGTTGCAAGCGCCCAAAGAAGTTGGACAATAGGAATTAGGAGGTAGGTGAGGCTACGCTAACAAGAATAGTTTACGGAGACAGGTAGCAGATATGTGCACTTACAAGACTACCACCTCAAGTGAATGATCTCCAGACTGCGAGACTAGGATGCTCAGAGGCCTGCAGGGTCCACCAGTGACTGTGGTGAAGCTTGGCTAAGAAATGCACCCACAGAGTATTACACACTGGAATTCTGTTTGACCCAGTGTGGCTCTATGTAAAAGTCCATTTTCTCCAGAGTTTCACTGCCAACAGAAGGCTGGAAAAGTTACCACAAATTGGTCAACTTAGCACAGGGAAAAACTGTTCGGCTAAATTGTAAAGGTTACATTTCAAACAGAAAAACAGAATAGATTTAGGACAATCAACAGCTCTAAATACCAGTGACTAAGTTCTGGAACATCTTTAGTATTGAAAGTGAAAAATGAAGTAAATTTTCTATCTTGGAGAAAAAGAACTTGGGAGTGAATGTAGTAATTTTTACAGCATTCTCCATGGAGGCCCCATGCTGATAACTTCTCTCTACCCACATCCAGAGTAGGTCTACTGTACTTTATTTTGTATGTTGTGTGTCCACTAAAGGCAGTGTGAAAATTTGGAAATTTGTTGTTCTGCTGAGAATTCAGCTATCACCTCTGCTTCTAAGTACATAACATACATAGGGATTCAGATAGACAATATACTACACCATGATGTGATACTGAGTTGGATAATTCTTTGTTGTGGCAGCTGTCTTGTGCATGTATCCCTGGCCACCGTCCCACGAGACACTAGTAGCATGCACACTGCAGAGTAAAACTGCCCTTAGCTGAAAATCACTGGTCTATTAAAAAAAAAGAATCATTGGTCTACAGAAATTACTCTCCCACTCCCAACCTTTTCCTTAAAAAGCAAAATATTTCCAATGTAAAATGTTCATTCAACCAGTATTAAAAATCTTTAAATATACAAACACTAATATAAATATTATAGGACCTCAGTGAAAAGAAAGCACAGATATTTTTTACTAGAATATGTACAGTTCATTATGCTCATTACAGTTCCTAAACTTAAAAGTATCCTTACATTTTAACAGTGGAATATTTTTTATAAAAGTTTGAAATTGAAAGAAGTATGATATATTTACCCCTTGTTGAAATAATCCTTGTATTATTGATTTCTCCATTTTTGAATTTTCATCCATGATTGAAACCAAAGGAGCAATTTGTTCTTTTGCAAATTTTTTGACTACAGGAAAAAGAATTACCAATAAATCTGTGTTCAAGTACCAGACATTTTAATAAAAATTATAATAGTTTATTAATAGTTTGCTGACGAATTTACTTTTTAACTAGTAAGATACACACAGATGCATTTATTCTTATAAAATAGAATTTATCACAGGGGAACAGAGAAAAGAAGGGAAAAACAGAAACAAAACTATATTTATTTCAATATTATATATATGTATATATGTATATACATATATATATAAAAGATAGTTGGGACAGCTATACTACTAATTTCTCTTGATTCACTGGAGAAAAGGGTTTGTGCTAATACTGTCTGGACAATTAAATGCCAATGTCTTGTACTCTGAGTAACTAATCTGAAGATAACAGTATGTAATATATTAACCATTGTTACCCTCCTATCATCTTGGTTTGAAATTTTGGGTTTTTTCCTCTTTAAAATTAAAAAGATAGAATTTATAAAGTTTTCTTTTAATAGAGAAAAGTATAAATCCCCATCTCCTTTCCATAATCCCGATATTAAAAAATAAATATATATTTTACATGGCACAAAAATATAAATACAGAAAGCACAAAATGAAAAAGTGAAAGCCCATTCCCTGTCCTCGTTTTCTAGTCCCTCTCTCCAAAGGTAACTAATTTATTACATATTTTTGAAAAATTTTCTTTCAAAACTATCTATATCTATACAGGCATATAAATTATTTAGCTAAAAAATTATCTACCTTACACAAAGGAGTTATAAGATATGCATTCAATATTTTATTCACTTATACATACATTGATGATCTCTTTTTTGCTGCTGTTTTTTGAGACAGGGTCTCACTGTGTGGTTTAAGCTGGCCTTGAACTCACTATGTAGCCCAGGCTGGCCTTGAACTCATGGCAGTCTTTCTGTCTTGGCCTCCCAAGTGCTTAGGTGTGCCCACTATGCCCAGCATAATCTGTTTTTTAAAATTAAGTTTATTGGTACATTTTAGATATACACTATGATCACATTCATCATGGAGAATTTGTGCCTGTACCTGATATAACTTTTTTCCCCCCATTCACCTACCCTTCCTTTAACCCCGCCTCCTCTCCCTATTTACAGAAGCTTTGTTTCCATTTTTCTCTTCTTTTCTCATTTTTTTCTTTTCCCCCTTTCCATGCCCAGTTCGCCTCCCCATTTGAACACTGTCCTATTTCACGATACCTATTATACATTTTGGTCCTTATTTACACCTTTTGGTTTCTCATACCAGAGAAACAATGCAGTATTTACACGTGTGTCCAATTTATTTAAGAGTATGATCTCAAGATGCATTCATTTATCTAGAAATCTCTCAAGTTTATCCTTCAATATGGCTGAGTAGGACTGCATTACATAAAAAACCCACATCTTCTTTATCCATTCATCAATTGACAGGCACTGTTTCCAAGATTTAGTTATTACAAACTGTGCTGTTATAAACATGGGTGTGCATATATCGCTGTGGTATGATGCTTTTAATTCTTTTGGGAAAATACCAAGAGGGGGAATAGCTGGGTCAAACTTCTAGTTTTAGTTTTTTGAGGAATCTCCACACTGATTTCCACAGTGGTTGCCCCCATCTACACTCTTTTCTTTTGGAGACAAGTTCTTCCAGGGCTTGAACTTTGCAACTGTCCTGCCTTACCTTCTCAAACACTGGGGTTATAGGTGAGTGCTCTGTTTCTTGATCTTTCTATGCCAGCAGACACCGTCTAAAATAGGCTTATTAGCAGCTACACTATCACACAGAACAAAGTTTTTCCATCTTCACACCACCTCCACCTTGACATCTGGTGCAGCAAGTCTTGCAGAGTCACCTGGATATTGGAGGATGTTCAGCAGCCTGGTTGGCTGTTATGGGTGATACATTGTGTCAACTTAAGTTTAGAAGGTTAATTAAGGGACTCAGCAGGGTGGCCAGGGTTCTTACTTTGAAAACATCCTGAGCATGTGCAAGAGGAAGGCTAGGAGATGGTGTGGGTGTAAAGGACAACGCCCTCAACCCGCCCCCCACTCCCTTAGGGCAGATACTCTGCATACAATAAAAGGGAATTGAGGAAGGACTGATTGCTGGTTTTTCATTCAGTCTTTGCTTTCAGCTTGGTCCTCTCCTGGCTTCTGGTGCAGACTGTTTGGCTTCTGCCTGGGACTCTTCAGCCTTCTGGTGTAGATTCTTTGGCCTTTGTCTTAGATTCTTAAGCGTTCCATTGCAGACCCATCAGCCTCCTGACATGGACTTGCATGGACACTGCAGTGAGCTCTAGACCTTGGACTGGACCCTTCAGCCTCTAGCATGCAGATGCCCTCTGCACACTTCCTCATCCAACTCTGTGGCTGACCATCATAAGCCAAAGTGTAATTCCTTATACATTTCCATATCTTGTGTTATATCTGTTTCTTGAGTAAACCCTGACTAATACACTGGCCATTATACAACTAGCTGCCAGCAGCATATACCCTGCCCACAAGGCTATGAAAAAAAAAAAAAAGAAAAACAGTACCAAGAAAACTTTTGACAAGAACTAGGGAACTAACGGACAGAAATGAGAGAGATTTGGCCAAGTGTGATGGCACAGGCCTATAATCCTAGCACTCTGGAGACTGAGGCAGGAGGATCACTGTGAGTTTGAGGCCAGCCTGGGCTACATAGTGAGTTCAACACAGCCTGGAATTAGCAAGACCATGTCTCAAAAAAGGGAGAGATTTAACTTATAGCTAGCTGTTCATTTGCTGTTGTTATCGTTTGAATTTGGATATGCATTACTTTTTCAAATAAATTTTATGTCAAAATAAACTCCATTCACAAAGTCAGATGAATATATCTGTCACATATGTAATTTCATACCACAGATCCAAGTCACAAGCAGAACACCAACAGGCAGAAGGTGAGAAACTCACTTACCTGTGCTCTTCATCATCATCTCGTCGTCTGTAAATGTCTGCAGTGGAGCAGAGGGCAGTAGAGCCTCTGACTGGGAAGATCTCATGACATGGGGAGGAATTTTCCAGGAACTCAGACAGGTTGGCAAGTGTCTTCTTAGCTTTAGCAGCAGCCCCAGATGGAAAGAGAACACACAGTATACAAAAGTAAGAAAGGCATTTGAACGTCAGTTTCTTTGGGAGTAACTTCATAACCCATTCTTTTATTACATATTACCAAAAAAAGCGAGCTTAGTTTACTACATTTTTTAATTCATTGTCTTTTGAACACAAACATGAATGCGTTTACTATATGATATCACCTTTATCCAACAATGAGCTGTTCGAAAAAAGACAAATTCCTCAATTATCTTACCAATCAAGGAAACAGAAATTTTTAGATGGAATTCATTCTCAAACTATATTTCTCATTTCACTTACTTCTTGGATAGAGAAACTGGAATACATCACCCACCACAAATGTCTACCATTGTCCACTCTCAAGAGCATTTTGTCAGGAGAGCACCTATGGGGAACAGAGATACCATCCTACTCAGTGGTCCTGGAAGCTGTGCTTTTGTGTTTTCAGGATAGTTTTATTTTTAAAGAATCTGCTAGTAAGATACAGTGCAGTGTGAGTGTCAAAGATATAGACTCTGGAGTCTTAAAGAACACTGGTGTGGTGATACACACCTATAATCCCAGCACTTGGGAAGCAAGAGGATCATTGCCAAGTTCAAGGCCAGCCTAGGCTACATAATGAGTTCAAGCCAGCCTGAACTACATGGTGAGACCCTGTTTCAAAAACAAAAACAAAAACAAAAAAACCTAAAACAACTAGTATCAAATTTAGTAGCTATGTGATCTTGGGCAAATGATTTCTCTCCCTTCCCTTCCTCCTCTCCCTGTCTCCTTTCCTCCTTCTCTCCCTTTCTTCCTCCCTCCCTCTCTCCCTCCTTTTTTGGTTTTGGAGAAGGCCAAGTTATTTTTAACTTCTCAGTTAAAACATCTCAGAATGTCAGCTTCCTTACTTGTAAAATGCAGACAATCTTTTTGCAGTTTTGTGAGGAGTTGTAAAACCATCCATATAAAGGGTTTAGCATAGTATCTACTGTACAGTAAGAACTTTGCAAATGTTACAAATGTTAAAATAACATTTTACTGTAACTGCCACATGTGATTGAAAAATGTTAAAAAAACAATTAAAATCTTATTATAGTAAAAGACACGTTGCCTTTGATTCCCTCAAATACTCCCCTTTACTTTGAACAGTGCTATCCCATAGTTCCTGCCACTTTCTGAAGCAGTTCTAGAGTCCTCTTTTGTGTCTGTAGTTTTACTGTTGTGCCTGCCTGTATGTCCTAAATTGGTTCAAAATATTTACTTTTCATAGTCATTTTGACTTTGGGGAAGAGTCAGAAGTCTCACAGTGCCAGATCTGGTGAAGAAGACACTCTGTAATACTGTTACAAGCCTGTCTTTTCCTTGGACAGCAACATTCACTGTATTTTTGATCATACCTTCTAAAGACACTCATAAACAAGGACTTCTAGAACTGTTTCACAAAGTGTGTTTGAAGCAAGGGGGAATATTTTTAAGTTGATTAATGGTAATGTGTCTTTTCCTGTGATAAATTTTTAAAATTTGAAGATTCACCACATATTTTGATCATCTTGTGTTTCCATTTTTCTTTTTTTGTTTTTTTGTTTTTTTTTGTTTTTTTGTTTTTTTGTTTTTCTCCGGTACCGGGAACCAAACTCACGACCTTGCGCTTGCCAGACAGGCGTCCATTTTTCTTGTTAAATTTTTCTTTTACTGTTTTCAGAAATAGGTGACAGAGAATTTAGGGCAAAGTTTCACAAAGTCTTTTTTTTCTCATTAAAAGACACAGCCGGAGTTGGGAGCAATGACACATTCCTGTAATTCCAGCACTCGAGGTGAGGCTAAAGGATCATGAGTTCAAGGCCAGCCTGGGCGACATAGAGAGTTCAGGCTGCCCTAGAGTACAAAGTGAACCTGTGTCTCAAACAAACAACCCTGTAAAACCAACAAAATGGGGACTGGGAAATTTAGGACTCATAAAAGGAAGACAGAAGCATGAGCTATAAGAGACAGACAGGAAGATGTAAAAAAAAAAATAGGTAAAGGAGCAGTGCAAAGGGATTCAAGATAGGATGGTGCTAAGTAGTAGGACAGAAAATGGCAGCAGGTAGTATGAAGAAAGAAGAATGGAGAGAAGGGATGAAAGGAGAAGTGTGGGAGCAGCTGTGTTCAGCGCTGCTGGTAAAGCCTTGGATGGACCCTGGTCCTCAACACAAGTAGAGACTGTAATGAATGAAAAAATGACCCAACTAATCTCCACAAAATGCCTATCTGTTTCAAAAACTTCAATACAAGCCAAGATTTTGACATGCCTTATTTTTAGAGGAGATTATTTACTTCACTAAACCCACTAAAGAATTATTTTGTCTCTTATTAAATGTAGGACCTTTGTACCTAAACTGATCTCTAATAAGAAAGCTGCTCTTCAGAAGAAATAAACCTGAGCTGGCTGTGGTGGTGCACGCCTGTAATCCTAGCACCTGGGAGGCTGAGGCAGGAGGAGCAGGAGGATTGCCGCGAGTTTGAGGCCAGTCTGGGATATATAGTGAGTTCAAGGCCAACCTGAACTACACAGCAAGACCCTGTCTCAGGAAGAGAGAGACGGAGACAGTAGACAAGAGACATGAGAGAAACTTCAGAAGCCAGTAGGTCTTATAGTAACGGTTTTTCCTGCTGACACAATAGTGAACTCTTTAGTGTCTCCCCCATTCTTCCCTTCCCTCCCCTTCTCTTCTCTCTCCCCCCATATCTCTGTCTGTGTCTGCCTCTCTCTCTATCACTCTTTCTCTCTCTGGTGGTACTGGGGATTAATCTCATGGACTTCATACTGAGCTACATCCCAATCCTTTTTTATTTTTTAAGACAAGGTCCTGCTAAATTGTTCAGGCTGGCCTTGAACTTGCAATTCTCTTATTTTGGCCTCCAGAATCGCCAGGATTACAAGCCTGGTAAGGGCCCCTTAGCTTCAATATTAGTACTGGCAGAAGTATATGACTAGTCAACACATAGCAATTATTTTAGATTCACAGACAAGACAACGGAGTCAAATTTACTTTAAAAATAAAATGTGTATAGTATAGGGCGAGATTATTGAAGATGTTCATCATAAAACAGCATATGCTAAGTGAATGAAATCCATTTTTAGCTAAAGCATGAAGTGACAGTACCTCTCTTTTTTGGCAGGAAAAAACTTTCCTTGTAATATGATAGTCTTTAATAAAGGATAGTTGTCCTTTTCTTGCCTTGAACTGCATAGCCAAGATTTCGACATTGATTTTCTAATGTCCCTTCCCATTCTGTGTTGACCGCAGCCATTTCCGTTTTGGTGGCCACTCCATCAAAATGATTTTCCACAGTTATAAGCCATTGTACCACATCATCACATTTTTTTGTATAGAACAGCAATTGCTACTTGAATGGAATAATGGTTATCTATGCCTTGCCAGATACTTTTTGGAGTTTGAGTCTGATCTGTTTTGTACTCAACTGACCAGCGTTCTGTTGCACTTGCAAGTGTTGAAGATCAAACCTGAAGCCTGTTAGACCCCTGTGGACAGAACAATAAAGTCCATGAACTTCAATGGGTGTTGAATTACATCTTTATGTCACTAACTTCTAACTGAAATGCAGCGTTTCTTTCAATAATGTATGTGGACAACAAATTTTAATAGTATAAAAAGTATCTGTGACTCTGCCACCAAAAGAAGTTATAGCTATTTTTATACTCGATAGAGTATAAATGTCTTGATGTTGCTTGCGCTCATCACCAGTTCAAAGCAGCTATTAGAACTGCTGTCTGATCTTATTTAAGAAGTACATACTACTACATGAAATTCAAAACTATTTTATAATGGTTTTATTATCATTTATTTCCTTTATAATCCATACCTTTTATGCATTTTAAAAACCTTTTGAGAAGAAGCCTATAAACTTTACGATTGCTGTATACCCTTCACTCATGGCACAAAAATGCAAACCCCTGACTACGGATTGCTCTGGTACATCTTTTGGTAAACTTGTCAGGTATAGCCAATGTCACCACCTGATGGAGACCACTATGAAGCAGCCCCAGGCAAGACTTAAATTAACCACTTGGATTTTATGTTCACTTGTGAAACTGTCCAAAGCCTAGGCCACTTGTCTGCAAGTGGGTGATGCACTTAAGTGAATCTCTGAGTCACTAATGCCTACAAAAACCTGTAATGGCAGATGACGCCAGAAAGCCTCAAAAGATAAGACAAGAACACAGTCAATGACACCCGGATCCATCTCAACTAGGTGAAGACCATACCCTCAGGCATCTCACTCCTGGGTGGATTAACTTCATCCCTGTTAAGGATTTAATACCTTACTTGAAGAAGCACTTGAGTAATCTCACCCTTCCTGAGTACTTCCTTCCCTTCTGACAACCAAATAAATACAGGTCACCCAGGGAAGATCTTGGTCTCAGCCCCCAGAGAATCTCAAATTCTGTGAGAGGGCTTTGATCCTCCTGGAGACCTGAAATCATTGCACTTGCCTTTTTTTATTTAGCCTTCACCGTACACTCATTCAGGAGATCGCAGACCTGATCAGCCCACAATAACTAAGGGATACTATTAACTCAAAAATCACCCCATTCACTATGCTCCAACACAGTGAAATATTGTTGCATAGACTCTTCAAGTGCTTCAAGTGTAGATAGTTTCACAATACATGGAAGGCCAACAAGACATATCAAAGAAGCTGTGCTCACTGTCAAAGTACAGCCCATACAAAATTTCACAGGAAGCTGATCCATATAACACAATAGCACTCAGCCTAAATTTCGTGGCTAGTTCTCTCCCCATTGTGCCACACCCTGCCTCCCCTTTGACACAGTTTATTGCCTAGTTCATTGTGTACCCTGTCCTAATCTCCTTTATCTTTGAAAAGAACAGGATGCTTTGTACCTCAGAATTTTCTCTTCAGGTAGGCTAGCAAAAGTAGCTAGCTCTAAGGTAGATGCCACAGTAATTGCCTGATGACCTCTAATTTCAAC